TACCCCTCAAGAATCACGTTTTTGGTCTGTGTTCTGGATATGCCTCTCCAGTTTCGTGTGCCTCAAATCTTTCAAGGCGTGGGAGAGGCTCTTGGTCAGGTTCAGGGTACGGTGGATCTCGTTGAAGGAAGGGTTCGTGTGGAGATTGATGGTTTCAAGCCATTGATTTTCTCGGCGACTATTGAGATAGGGGAAGGAGTGAAGATTATAGTAACACTATGGTATGAAAAATTGTTCGGCTATTGTACGGAGTGCTTCCATCCTACGCATGATCAATCTCGCTGTCCAAAGTTGATCAAAGAAGAGCCGGAAATCTCCAAGGGTGGGGGATTAATAACTGATAGAGCGAATAATACAAGCTATAAAGCGGTGGTTGCTAATGGGTCAGGCAGAATTATGTGCGCAGAGGTGGGCAACGAAATCGTTATCAAGGGCCTAGAGGTGGTGATAAGGGTAAAGGCATCGCTAGGGAGACTCAAGGGGAAGGCAGAATGGAAGGGGCTTATCACCCTTACAGAGAAAAAGGCGCAAGGGGCTACAATGATGGTAATGTCGGTAATAGAAGGCTAGGGAGTCAGTCTCGGGGATCTCAGCAACCTCATTTTGGTGGATGAGATCGGGTATTGAAGAATCCTGAGGCCTATTGAAGAAATAGGAAATGGTTGTGGATCCTCTCCTAAGGCTCGCAAAGCTCTGGTTTTTGAAGATCAGGAACCGGGTGGTTTAGTGGTGGCTACTCCTCAGGAGAATGAAGTGATAGCTCAACCAAAATCAGTACTGGGAGATCACACATAGGGTGAAGAAGGGGAAAAAGTTTCGGAGGAGCAAACGTATTCAGCATTAAATGATGCAAATTTGATGATTGAAGAGGTGCTATTATCAGATTTGGAGCTATTGCTGGAGGATGGTGAGTTAGAGGAGTGGGAACAAGGAGAAGGTACAAAATTTATGGAGGAAAGTGAACTGGATGGCAAGGAACAAGTTTCAGAAGACCCTGAGGTTATGAAAGATCCTCAGCCTCAAATAAGCATGGAAGTTAATGATGAGGAGAACGCACTGAGTGGGGAGGAGTTAGTGAAAGATGTAAAGAAAGATGCCAAGAATGCGGTGGCTGGGGCAGGAGGACCTTCCAAGAAGCGAAGTGCACCGGTTTTCATTTCTCCTCGCAAGAAATTTCTGTCCAAGGTGGCGGCTAAGTTGGGGGAGAAAGGTACCAAGAAGGCACCTTCTAAGCCTAAGAATCCAACAGCGTAAGGTCTACTTGTTGGTGATTTATTTTATTTTCAGTTTTATTTGAATAATGTTGGATTCTACTATGAAATCCCTTCTAGTTGAGTTTGGTTCTATTGGTTTGTTATTTTTATTTCCTCGCATTAGTGGTTCTTTTCTATGGTTTTTTCAAGCCCCTAGGTTGATGTTCTTTGAGTGGTCAAGTGCCTCGATTAATAAAACGGTTCTGAATTGGTTTTATTATCATGTGTATTTTGAATTGGCATGTGGTGCTGTCTTAATCTCTCCCCAGTGGTTTGTGGTGTATTGGATCAGTGACCTAAAGTTTTGTTACGAGTTATTATGGTTAATGAAAAGAGATTCAGAAAGGTTGAAGCTTACTAATGGTTTTGCTTGGTATGTCACAGATGTCGTTTACTTCTCGGTGTGCCGAAATGAATGAGTTGGATATGAGGCTTTTGGTTATAGTATTCTTTTCTTGGGGCTGAAGATGGTGTATTTTCGAGTGTTATGTGCTCAGGTTTTTGGAAGGCTTTATTGTGGTTTTTTTCCAGGTGGTTATGGAGGAATATATTTTGGTTGATCTCGGTCGAATTGTTGGATCCCAGGAGTTGGCTAACTTTTCTTGGAAAACAAATATTATACACGGGTATGGTAAAGGAAGCCAATCGGATATTACGGTTCAATATGTACATGGGCTCTATGTGAAGAATATTACGGTTGTTGAGGATAGTTGGGAGGTGGTATTAATATGTACATTGGTGATAGTAGGTATGTTTCAAGTTTCTTCGGTAAAGGAACATGGGTTTTCAGTGAGTTTTATTTTGTTGTAATAATGAAAATATTAAGTTGGAATTTCCAAAGACTTGGTATCAAATGGACTATTAGTTATCTTCGGGAAATTTTGTCTAAACTTAAACCAGTGTTTCTTTTTCTTTCTGAGACAAAGCAACAATTTGATTTTGTTCAATCTTTTCAATTTCATTTCGGTTATAGTGATCTTCCCACAGTGGATCCAATAGGTAAAAGTGGGGGATTAGCTCTATTCTATGATTCCACTTATAAGGTGAATATTCTTTCTTCCAATAATCGAATCATAGATGTAGAGACAGAATACAAGGGCAAGCATATATTTTTTTTTTTATCTTTTATATATGGAGAACCAGTGTTTCTTTTTCTTTCTGAGACAAAGCAACAATTTGATTTTGTTCAATCTTTTCAATTTCATTTCGGTTATAGTGATCTTTCCACAGTGGATCCAATAGGTAAAAGTGGGGGATTAGCTCTATTCTATGATTCCACTTATAAGGTGAATATTCTTTCTTCCAATAATCGAATCATAGATGTAGAGACAGAATACAAGGGCAAGCATTTTTTTTTATCTTTTATATATGGAGAACCAGACCAATGTTTGCGAGAACATGTATGGGAACGAATAACCAGGATCGGTATTTCTCGGGATGAACCGTGGTTTATAATTGGTGATCTAAATGAAATTAGGGGGAATCATGAGAAACAAGGGGGTGTCCTACGGCACGCAGACACTTTCGTGGCATTTAATAATATGATTGACAATTGTGGTTTGTTGGAATTTCCAAACTTAGGGAATACTCTCTCATGGAGTGGTAGACGGAAGAAACAAATGGTTAAATGTCGCATAGATAGAGCTCTTGGGAATAATGATTGGCATAATTTATTTCCGTACTCTTTTATAGAATATTTGGGAATGGTTGGCTCGGATCATAGACTTATAGTGGCATCGGTTGATGATAAGGTTCTCAAATTTCGGAGACAGTTTCGTTTTGATAAGCGGTGGATAGGTAAGGATGGATTAATGTAATCTATTACAAGGGGATGGAATATGAGATCGAACATACACGACAAAGGAATAGTGGATAAGATTCATCATTGTCGGCATGCAATCTCTGTTTGACGAAAGGATAATCCTCCGTATGGAAAGGACAAAATAAATAACTTACAAAAAGCTCTCGAGGAAGTTTAAAATGACTTCACGAAGTCCAATGAAGAGGTTCTGGAGGTACCTAGGAAGTTAAAAGAAGCATATCAGGATGAAGAGCAATATTGGGAACAAAAAAGTAGGACCATGTGGCATATATGTGGGGATAAAAATACAAAATTGTATCATGCATTGACGAAACAAAGACGTATTCAAAATATGATCATTGGTCTGTATAATGAAGAGGGTAACTGGATAAATTCGGAATCAGAAGTGGAAGGAGTGGCAATTAAATATTTCACGGATTTATTTCATTCTTCCTCACCAGCTGAGTTTGATAGCTTTTTGGCTGAGGTTCCTACTTTGGTAATGGAAACTCAGTATACACGGCTTTTGGCTAGGGCAACTGAGGAGGAGGTGCGAGCAGCACTTTTTATGATGCACCCAGAGAAAGCCCCTGGACCAGATGGTATGACCGCCCTCTTTTATTAACGGGCATGGTCGGTAATTAAAAAGGATGTGGTTGACATGGTTAATAATTTCCTCACAACAGGAGTTTTTGATTCCAGGCTTAATTTGACAAATATATGTCGGCTAAATAGGATGTTTGAGCTAAGACCCATTAGTTTGTGCAATGTGGGTTATAAAATTATTTCAAAGGTATTATGTTAGAGACTGAAGGTAATTTTACCGAATTTAATATCGGAGACCCAATCAGCATTTGTGGCTGGTCGATTAATCTCGGACAACATTCTCATATTTAATATATTCGAATTTTAAATATATTACATATATATTATTAAATATAATTGAAAATAAAAATATTTATTTTTATTAATTAAATATCAGTCAAAATTAAAAAATATAAAATATTAATATTTTATTATTTAAATATACTATTCATAATTATATAATTAAAAAAATTCTAATATTTTAATTTTAAATAAATTACATATATATTATTAAATATAATTTAAAATAAAAAACAATTCTTAATTTTGTGCTTAGTTAAATTAATTTTCTATTAAATACTAGTCAAAATAATAAAAAATCATACTAATAGTTTATTATTTAAATATAATTTAAAATAAAAATGAGATTTTTCTTAATTTTGTGCTTAATTGATCAAATTTATATTATATATTAGTCATAATAATAAAACATATAATATTAATATTATATTATTTAAATATAAATTTTATTCAAATTTAAATAATTAAAAAGTTTCTAATATTCAAATTTTAAATATATTACATATATATTATTAAATATAACTTAAATAAACAAATTTATTTTTCTTAATTTTGTGGATAATTAAATAAAATTTAGATTATAGTTGAAATAATAAAATATATAATATTAATAAATTTCATTTAAATATAATTTAACTTTTAAAAAGTTTATCAGTGTACATGATGCAGGAAAACATCTAGTTTACATGTAAAAAAAAAGAAGTTAGTGTCAAACGGTGAATTGTTTTACATTTTATAAATCATAGCTGCATAAAAATAAGAAATGAAAAACAAAACAATTTGTTGATTTTTGTTATTGTTTTTCTAAAGCTATGTCATGTGTCAGAATTTTAAAATTTTATTGGTGAACTGATTTGTGATTTAGTATATAAAGAATTCTTGGTAATCGAATTAGAACAAAACTCAAAATTAACTGGGTTGAACTGAATAAACACAAACAAAACCGAACAAAATGAAGTCGAACACAAACCAATCGAGTTATATATGTTGCCTTGTCTTGTGTTTTGACTTTGACCAGCTGTTAAAAACTTCCCTCGTCTTCTGTGTCCACTAAACCTCCAGATTTCGTTTTGCTCATCAAAATGGCTGGATCCTCGAGAAACAAGCAGAAGGCTGATGTCGCCACGATCCTCCGCAAGTCTTGGTACCATTTGCGGCTCTCGGTTCGGCATCCCACTAGGGTCCCCACTTGGGATGCGATCCTTCTCACTGCCGCCAGTCCACAACAGGCCGAGCTCTACGATTGGCAGCTCCGGCGTGCCAAGCGTATGGGACGGATAGCTGACTCCACCGTCACTTTGGCCGTTCCTGATCCTGATGGCAAGCGGATCGGCTCCGGAGCTGCCACTCTTAACGCCATCTATGCTCTCGCTCACCATTATGACAACTTAGGTTTCCATCCTCCTGCTTCTTCTCCTGAGGTAATTAAATGTGTTGCTATCTCTTAGTAGGAAACTTAGTTAATCCTTGAATCTGGATCTAGCATTGCCTCTCAAATTTTTTTTTCTGATCTGGATCTATATCATTATGTAATAAGTCAATGACATTTGGATCTTATTTGATGTTTAAAAATATTAGGAGGAAGTTGCAAATGGTCACTCCTCTGAAGAGTCTTGGGTTAGATTCCTCTCTGAGAAACATGTATTGATGCTTCATGCTGGAGGTGACTCCAAGAGAGTACCTTGGGCCAATCCCATGGGCAAAGTATTCCTCCCACTTCCTTTTCTTGCTGCTGATGATCCTGATGGTCCTGTTCCTCTCCTTTTTGATCACATTCTTGCTCTTGCTTCTTCTGCAAGGCACGCTTTCCGTGATCAAGGTCCTTTTCCCCTACTCTTTTTTTTTTATTGAGTCATTTGAGTTTCAGCATTTGATACTTCTAACTTGTCGACAAGGTGGATTATTCATTATGACCGGTGATGTCCTTCCATGTTTTGATGCATTTAAAATGACTCTCCCTGAAGATTCGGCATCCATAGTTACTGTGCCTGTCACTCTTGATATTGCTTCCAACCATGGTGTTATTGTCACATCCAAATCTGATTCTCTCGCCCAAGGCTATACTGTCAGTTTAGTAAATGATCTTCTGCAGAAGCCTACAGTTGAGAAGCTTGTCAAGAAAGATGCAATCTTACATGATGGACGGACGCTCCTTGACACTGGGATCATATCTGCGAGAGGCAGAGCATGGTTGGATCTGGTCGCTCTTGGATGCTCTTGCCAACCCTTGATCTCAGAACTTTTAAGCAGTAAAAAAGAGGTCCATTTTCTCATATTTTTTTGCAGCTTGTTCATAAAGAATTGCCTTGTAGTTCCTCCACAGCAACTCGCGTCTTATGTTATGGAATGGTTTTCGACTTGCAGATGAGTTTGTATGAAGATTTAGTGGCTGCTTGGGTCCCCTCAAGGCATGAGTGGCTGCGAACCCGACCTTTGGGCGAACACCTTGTCAATAGTCTAGGGAGGCAAAAGATGTACAGCTACTGCACCTGTATGTTTGTACTGATCCCAAGACTAGAGAAACAAATTTCAACTTCATTTGTTTTACTCTTTTTAACTCTTTCTATCATCCTGTGCCAGATGATTTGCAGTTTTTGCATTTTGGAACTTCAAGTGAGGTATTGGGTCACCTGAGCGGAGATGCTTCAGGAATTGTGGGTCGAAGGCACTTATGTTCCATCCCTGCAACTACGGTTTCCGATATTGCAGCGTCTTCTGTTATTCTGTCTAGTGAAATTGCACCAGGTGTCTCCATTGGTGAAGATTCACTTATATATGATTCAACAGTTTCTGGTGCTGTACAAATTGGTTCCCAGTCCGTAGTTGTTGGTATTCACATCCCAAGTGAAGCTCTGGAGAGTTTCAGGTTCATGCTTCCGGATAGGCATTGTCTTTGGGAGGTCCCATTGGTTGGACGTAAAGAGAGAGTCATAGTGTATTGTGGTCTCCATGATAATCCAAAGAACTCAATTCACAAAGATGGAACTTTTTGCGGTAAACCTTTAGAGAAAGTAATATGTGATCTTGGCATTGAGGAAAGCGACCTCTGGAGCTTTAATGCATCACAAGACAGATGTTTGTGGAATGCTAAAATGTTCCCGATTCTCACATACAGTGAGATGCTGAAGTTAGCATCGTGGTTGATGGGTCTAGATGATAGTAGAAACAAGGAAAAGATAACCTTGTGGAGAAGCTCAAAACGTGTGAGCTTAGAAGAGTTGCACAGATCAATAAACTTTCCTGAGATGTGCAATGGTTCCGGCAATCATCAAGCTGATCTTGCGGCTGGAATAGCTAAAGCATGTATGAACTATGGTATGCTTGGGCGGAATTTGTCTCAGCTCTGCCATGAGATTTTACAGAAAGAATCACTAGGATTGGAGATATGCAAGAATTTTCTGGATCAGTGTCCCAAATTTCAGGAACAAAACTCCAAAATTCTTCCAAAGAGTCGGGCATATCAGGTAGAAGTTGATCTTCTACGAGCATGTGGGGATGAGGCAAAAGCGAGGGACTTGGAGCATAAAGTCTGGGAAGCAGTTGCAGAAGAAACTGCTTCAGCTGTGAGATATGGTTTTAAAGGTAAAAAATCTAGTTAACTAGTATTGGTTTATATATATATATATGCTAACACTTTTTTCTGTTTCAGAACATCTCTTGGAATCAAGCGGCAAGCTTCCTTGTGAGAAGAATCATATTTGTCCTCTGGGTCGAGTTTTCCAACCAAGAAGGACGAAAGTTGAACTACCAGTTCGGGTAGATTTTGTTGGTGGTTGGAGTGATACACCTCCATGGAGTCTAGAACGTGCGGGTTGCGTCTTGAACATGGCAATAACCCTAGAAGGTTCACTTCCTATCGGCACAATCATCGAGACAACAAATGAGAAGAGTGGAATCTCAATCCAAGACGACGCTGGAAACGAGCTGCACATCGAAGATCCAATAACCATCAAGACTCCCTTTGAAGTTAATGACCCATTCAGGCTTGTTAAATCTGCTCTATTGGTAACCGGCTTTGTTCAAGAAAACTTTGGCCGCCACTCCACAGGATTAGCAATAAAGACATGGGCTAATGTTCCTCGTGGTAGCGGTCTAGGAACCTCTAGTATCTTAGCTGCAGCTGTTGTGAAAGGACTTCTCCAGATATCTGATGGAGATGAAAGCAATGAAAATGTTGCAAGACTCGTCTTGGTTCTGGAGCAACTCATGGGTACTGGAGGAGGCTGGCAAGATCAGATTGGGGGATTATACCCAGGTATCAAATTCACTTCGAGTTTCCCAGGAATTCCTCTGCGTCTTCAGGTTGTCCCGTTACTCGCATCTCCACACTTGATCACAGAGTTGCAGCAACGCCTCCTGGTTGTTTTCACGGGTCAAGTAAGTAACAACAACTGAGAGGAAGAAGAAGAAGAAGAAGAGGAGAGCTATCACTGTCTTATTGATGCATTTTTGTTTTGTTTTGTTTTAACAGGTCAGGCTTGCTCACCAAGTCCTACACAAAGTTGTAGCAAGATATCTACAAAGAGATAATCTCTTGATATCAAGCATAAAGCGTTTGACTGAGCTGGCAAAATCAGGGAGAGAAGCGTTGATGAACTGTGAAGTGGATGACCTGGGGGAGATAATGTCAGAAGCTTGGAGATTGCATCAAGAGCTTGATCCGTATTGCAGCAATGAGTTTGTGGACAAGCTTTTCGCGTTTTCGCAACCTTATAGCTCAGGGTTCAAGCTTGTTGGTGCAGGTGGGGGAGGATTCTCACTTATACTGGCTAAGGACAGAGAGAAGGCTAAGGAGTTAAGGCAGAGATTGGAAGAGCATCCAGAGTTTGATGTCAAAATTTATAGTTGGAGTGTATCTGTCTCTAACAATAGCGTGTGATCCATCTTTGCCTTGTTTTCTCCATCTATAAAGCCTTTGTAATTTTAACTGAAACTGAAACTTGGGAAAGAATAAAAGAAAACATACTTTTTTGCTCGACCAAGTTGTTCTTTGCTTTGCTTTGTTCCGGTTACTTCGATAACAAACACCATGCACGGTGAAACTACTATATTACCCTTGCGCCTGAAATCAAGGTAAAAAGGACCCCGGATAATCAGGGACTTGGATTTGGAGATAACGCCGTCAGAAGATTCCGTAACGGGTTAGCTCAACAGTTCCGTTCGTTCACCCAATTACTATATGCCTCCCGTTACTCTAATAACGCCGTCAGAAGCTATCTCGCTGACGTCAGAGCTCACACTTGTAACAACGTTCCAGAAAAGCAAAAGGGAAAAGCTTTGGGTAGAGAGAGAAGGAAGAATGGGTTTGCTAACGAACAAGATGGAGAGAGAGGAGCTCAAGGCAGGAGATCACATCTACACTTACAGAGCAGTTTTCGCTTATTCTCACCACGGTAACATTCCTTCTTCCCAAGTTTGTTTCTTTTTTGCTTCTCTGTTTAGAAAGTTGCTGACTTTATCTAGAGACAGATCTTATAAAGAAGACTTTGTTTAATCTCTACTTAGTTTGAAATCTCTTCGACTTTATCTGTATATTCATCTGTTCATGATTGGATTGGACTGGAAACTGTTTAAGACAGACATATCATGAAACTTTGATTTGACTGGTGGAGAGGAAACATTTATTTATTGCAGGAATCTTTGTCGGAGGGTCCAAGGTTGTTCATTTCAGACCTGAGAACAACCTGAATTCTTCAGTTTCTTCTTTATCCTCCTCTGAAGAAGCAATCTGCCCAACGTTTCCAGATTGTGGTTTCAGACAACCAAACAGCGGAGTGGTCCTTTCTTGTTTGGACTGTTTCCTCAAGAACGGCTCACTCTACTGCTTCGAATACGGAGTCAGCCCGTCGGTTTTCCTTACCAAAGTACGGGGAGGCACTTGCACAACAGCGCAATCGGACCCCACTGATTCAGTGATCCACAGGGCAATGTACCTTCTCCAAAACGGATTTGGAAACTACCACGTTTTCAAGAACAACTGTGAGGATTTTGCGCTCTATTGCAAGACCGGTTTGCTTATAATGGATAAGATTGGTGGTGTAGGGAGAAGTGGTCAAGCTTCATCGATTGTCGGTGCTCCTTTCGCTGCATTACTTTCGTCGCCTTTCAATCTGCTTATTCCAAACCCCATTGGTGTGGCAACAGTTACAGCTGGAATGTACTGTATGAGTCGGTATGCGACTGACATTGGGGTTAGAAAGGATGTGGTGAAGGTTTCCGTTGAGGATTTGGCTGACGTAAAGAGTATTGAGCAAGTTGAAGACGAGGAAGGTGATTCTGATACCGACTTTAGTTAGGTGACTATATGATCACTTGAATCATGTTATGGAGTGTTTATGAATGTTTTGTGATGGATTAGTGTTAAAGACTTTTAGCAAAGATATCAAGTGAAAATCCAGTAACCTGTAACACTGGTTAAATAATCGTTTAGTTTGTTGTCAAATGGTAAAGTGGAGATTAACTCGAAATGTCACATACCCACCCACCCCCTCTCAAAATTCTCTATTCTCCCCTTAATATGAAAAATGGTTATAGACTTCACCTAATTACAGATCCGATCACAGAAAATCCACCCATCCAAACCAATTTAGATCCAAACCGGATCCTAACCTTAAACGATGTGTTTCAACTCTTCCTCTCATTTTTGTTAAGTCGATTCTCTTTCTCTTTCTTTCGCGATAGAAACAACAACGAATCCTAAAATTTTCATCTTTTTGTTTCTTTTTTTTTTTTCATGTAATAACCGAGCTTCCATCTTCCAAATCGACAAGAGATCGACGTCCTTCATCTTGGTAAGTCATTTATTCTTATTGATTTCATTGTATTTTGTATTTAGGTTATAGTAACATTGGAAAAAAAATCTAAGCTGTAGACAAAACTAAGGTATCGTCTTTAATAAGCGAGTTTGTGCTATGAAATTGAATAAAAACATAGTGAAATCTTAGATTTGGTATATGTTGTGAAAGAAAAGTATTTTGAACTCTTATTTTGGATCAAACAGTTGCGATTTTGTGGGTTCTTTGACTGGATAAATAGAATCTAATTGGTGAGATGTCTTGTTAAAACATAAACTATGAATTAGGGAGAAAATGTATATGAATCAAGTATGTATTCAATTGGAGAGAATGTTGTGTGTTTTAGGTTATGGAGATTGAAAATAAATTTGGTTTTGAGATTGGTGTAGTGAGGAGAATCCGAGTATGAACATAGTTTAAAGTTGATGTTTTGTGATTGAATGTTTGATATCTGAAACCGAATTGATGATTGAGTATTTAGATTGAAAGAACTTGGAGATTTATTGATTAAGTAAATAATGCTGAGATTAGGCAAACTAATGATTCTTGTTTTTGGTTGTTTTTGGATTTTCAGAGGATGTAGATAGTGGCAGACCGTAAGAAGTGCGGGCAGAAGAATCGGAGTAAACAGAAAAAGGGAACGACCACAAGAACCCAAAAAACATTTCTCATGTAGTAGAAGAGCATGTAGAAGAGTTTTCATGCGGGAGCTCAAGTGATGATAAGTCTGATCCACCCAAAGTCAAATATTATTTTGGTTTAAGTTGAATAAAGTGTTGTTTCTCGTGTATTGGGTTTAGTTGAATAAAGTGTCACTAGTCGTGTATTATTTGTTTGACTAGGTCTACTAGGATAAATTGTATAACCACTGTGATTAGTATTACTAGTACATAACTGTATAACTGGTGTGCTTAGTATTACTACTACATAATTATATTACTGTTGTGAGTAATAATTATGACTAAAAAAATTTTGTTGGTTTTATTTGTCTTGCAGGAATCTCAACCACTACCACCTTGTAATCAACACTACAAGAAAACAGGTCGTTTCCGACTACAATATGAATCGGCATTCAGTCGCTAAATGGTCGTTCCGACTGATTTCCGACTGATTTCCGACTGATTATAGTAGTCGTATTACACCTCGTCGGTAAATAATTTAGTCGGAAAACAGTTGGTATTTACCAACTGTTTGCCGACTATTTAGGTAGTCGTAAAATCAGTTGTTAATCAGTAGGCAATTTAGCGACTGACTTACCACTCATTTAGTTACTATATTACGACTGACTTAACGACTGACTTAACGACTAATTTTATTAGTAGATAAACAGTCGGTATATTTCTACGACCGAATGACGACTGATTAGTGACTCAGTTGCTTTAAAACTTTCCGACTGAATTGGTGACTGATTAGTGACTCAGTCAAAAATATCTTAAATATATTCTTTTGGTGTATTTTTTTTTTTGTTGTTCATGATTTGTTATTTAAATCTGCTACTATTATTAATAACTACTAAAAATGATTTGTACCATAAACAACCAAAAGAACTCCAAACTTGGGAGTTTTAAGTTTCAAACATCCAAAAAAAAACTCCAACACTTAAGGAGTTTACAAGTTATCACACATCCAAAAGAGAGTAAGTGAAAGGCAAAAATAGCAAGACCTAAACATGATGGGAATCAGATGAAGCTCTTTCTTTGGAGACAAAGTCCAAGAATCTCTTGTCTGTGATGGTCAAGTACTTCTTAACTAGTGAGAACTCTTCAATTGTAGACTGCTGAGTAGCTATAAGTATAGAATGCTCTTCCTCAACCTTTTCTGCAGCAGCAGCAGCTTGGGCACGCTCTTCCTCAGCGTTTGCAAGAAGAGCAGCTTGTTCTTTTATTTGGCGTTGAGCTTTTTCAAGTTGCTGCTGCAATTGCATGAAAGAGGACAAGCTTCTTGTGTCATGTGGCAGTTCATTAAGCTGGTTCTTTAAGCTTCCAAGGCCGTAGATATTCCCCCTGTCATTGGTGAAAGTGGCCTACAAAAATAAAATGTATAGTGAGAGACTATCAGCAACAAGAAAAAACAACCAAAAAACATAAGACATAAACTTTGACTGTAAGAAACTCAACCTGAATAAACAACTCATTCTCCTCTTCTATTGATAGTGGTGGATGCTCAGTGTCGGTCTGATCAGTCTCAAGGCTCTCCAACTTAGCTTCTTCTTTCTTCTTGAAAGCCTCAGCAACTTTTTCAGCTTTTAAATCGCTGAAGATTCCATCAGATTTTGTATGAGCTCTGATGAATACTTCACCAAAGCTCACTAGTCTTCCCAACTCAGCAACCTAAAGTGAAATGGAAGAAACTATCAGTATAAAATGTTAAAAAATCAAACATACTTATCAGTATAAAATGTTAAAAAAAATAGTAGGGACTTACCATCTCTTGGTGGATCTGCATATAAGACTTCGGGCCAGAGTTATGAGTGTGAACACCAAGACCTTGACGTTCAGACATTCTAGCTGCTGATGCTATCGAGCTCTTTGAAACCGCAGCATCAGTGTCCCAATAGTCAGTCATTGTTTTTCAGAGTGTGTCGTGTATCCAAGTAGGTTGCTCCCTAGAAGTCATTACGTCGCTGACCATGTCTTTCATTCGTAATAGAGCAATTGCCTCAAAATGTTCTTGAACAACACCAATCAATGATGGATGCCATGTGTGAGTTTTCTACAAATGAACATAGAAGAAGATATCAGTTAGCCATCAAAAACTAAAGAATTAAAAAAAAAACAGAGTCTAACACTTGCATAATAATTATAAAACCTCAAAGACAGAAAAGAGACAAAGAAGCTTACAGCAAATTCCAAAAAGTAACGTTCTTGTCTGTCTCTAGGCACACGAGTCCAGCTGTAGAAAGGCTTATTAAACTTGTTCTTTAAAACCTTGGTAATCTTTCTAGTCAACTTTAACTTGTCATAATCAAACCTACAAACATATATTATCAACAATACAAATTTAAAGCATAATAGAAGAAAATCATCCTCCGATAATACCTCAATTAAGATTTTATGAAAAGCTACTACAAACAGCTAATTTGTTTTGGCCGACAGCTCGAACAAAGACGTTGTCCTTTTAAGAGAAACTCATCCCACGGCCAAAATATTATTGAGTTTTAAGTAAAGATTGGGTTATAAATTAATAATGAAGATTTACTTGAAAACGGAGAAAAGGATAGGAAAAAAACTCATGTTTAATTACTTCTTTAAGTAGTAATCAAGACCAACGAGACAACACAACACATGAATGTTTGATTACTTCTATAAGTAGTAATTATTTCTGTCTATCTTCTTGCACGCAGAGACTCACTGGTCTACTTCCTATCCTTTCCTTTTGAACTAGTATTAAAGAAAACTGCTTACTTAGAGGATACCAACAAACTCAATACGATGACATTGTTAATATATATATATATATATATATATATATATATATATATATTTAATTTTCAGTTGTTAAACAACAAACATGTAATCTATTTAAGCCAAAGAAAAGAAGACAAGCAAAGACCATAACTGATCATCAACAAATTCACATTCTTGACAGAATATTGTAACTAAATTTTTACAGTTTTTCAATACACTCAATCATCAACAATTGCAGCTAAACCCATAAAAGACAATTGTAATAAAGGAATAAAAATTACCATGTGGTTCCTGGCTCAAGGTTGGGAGACAGGACAGTTATATTCCTCCCTCGAACTGGCTGGTTTAGGAGAGAGTTCAAATGTTCCATATGGTCAGAGGCGAGATTAGGTTCAATCTCTGGAGCCTCTACATCAGACATATCCTCCTCCTCTTCTGGGATATGAGAATTTTGTGCTTCAGAACTGTGGGGCGATTGAGAAGCTCGAGCTGGAGGCGATTGAGATGCTAGGGCTGGAGAAGATTGGGACGCTCAAGATGGAGGAACTTGAGATGCTCGAGCTGGAGGCACTTGAGATGGTGGACGTGGGTTGATATTTTCACTGGATTGAGTTTGTCGCTGTTGAGGTTTAGTAGTACCAACAGATGGAGTGAGAGGAGACTGAGCACAGGTCATCGTCGGAAACAGATTTCTCGGAGGGGGATAGTCACGAACAGAAGGGAGATTATGTTTCCTAGGAAGAACCGGTGGACTGGACTGAGATGGATCCGTCGGTCAGAAGTCATACTGCTGAGGTAAAGAAGATGGTCGTTTTGAAACCCTAGAGGTATTAGGTTTTAGGGTCTGTCGCTTCCTCTTTCCACTCATCGTTGGAGATACGCTGAAGATTGGTGAGAGATATTGAAGAAGATGAGAGAGCCGTCGAGAAAACTGAGAGAGATTAGGGTTTCTCTTTCTCAGATATGAGAGATATATGAATTGTTGGGCCGCGGGCTTAGGCCAAAAAATTAAATATTTTGGGTTTTCGCGGTACCATATCTTTCGGAGGCAAAACCGAATTTTTGGCCAGCAGTCGGTAAATAGTAGGTTTTCAGTCGTTAAATTTACTTATGAAAAATAAAATGAAAATCAACATAAAATTATAATGCAAAGTTTTCGCGGTTTAATCATTTTTGGAGGTAAAACCAAATTGTTTTTCAACAGTCGGTAATTAGTAAATAAAATTCCAAATAAAAGTGTACATAATAAATTATACAACATATTTT